CTGCACGCTGCGAGCTCCCCTACATCCTCGGCGGTCTGACATCATCACATCTATACAGGTCTATTGGACGTAAGGACGCCGAGGGACATACCACAGCCGGAGGGGAAGGGAGGTGAGCGGTCACTGACGCAGGATCGCGTGAGTCTTTATTTTCACCCCTAGGGGAACAAACGAAGATTTAACCCTTTGAGGGCAGTGTGGGGGAATCCTGACTGCATGGGTTAAGTTTTGTTTTTTTAATCTAGTCCCTCTTCCTTAAAGACAAAAGTTTTTTCAGCTCAGCCTGTTTTAGGGTGACTCCATTCCCTGGCAGGGTCCTATGGAGCCACCCTTGTGTGTGCTAGTAAGCTTTGTGTGGCTCCTTTCCCTTGCAGGGTCCTATGGGGCCATCCTTGTGTGTGCTGGTAAGCTGTGTGTGGCTCCTTTCCCTTGCAGGGTCCTATGGGGCCATCCTTGTGTGTGCTGGTAAGCTGTGTGTGGCTCCTTTCCCTTGCAGGGTCCTATGGGGCCATCCTTGTGTGTGCTGGTACCCTCTTCCCTTCTCCTTTTTTCAAGCTAGTAGATGGACGGCTGCTGCGGACTGCTCTGTCCCTTGTGATCTTGTTCCGGACCGGAAAGTAAGGGAAGCCGAGCTGAGAGAGTTGGAGCTCTTCACAAAACATGATGACTGTAAGTGATTAGACAATAACATTGTCCAGCAATGTCTGAATGTTGCTTCACAACCTCAGAGTGTTTGTTGGCTATGGTCGCCCCTCCCCCTGCATCCCGCGCTCTCTCCTTATCAAAACACGATGTCGGTGCAGAGAAGGGAGGCAATGGAAGTAATTGCGGAGCTGGACGGGGAAAGCATTGACGGGTCCAAGACGCGGAGATGGCGGCAATAAATTCTTCTCCCTATACAGGAACTGTGCCCAGACGGAAATATCCGGTGACTGCATCATGAACGGCGGAGCCGCCGGCCGGCTACAAAAATGTCAGAAAATAAAGATGAATTTTTCTACATTTTATCTCAAAGAGTCAAATTACTTTTATTTCACATTTTTGTCAAATGATCTGAAGCGATGGCGGGCGGGCGGGCGGCCAAGATACCAGGAAATTGCTAAATCAATTATACGCGCACAGTGCTGCGGAGTCGACGGGTGCCTATTGTTTCCGCTGCCACTGGGCCTGCCAGGATGGAGGGGGTCGGGTCCACAGCGCCAACGTTTTACCGAGATGCGTAACACACACAGTGCAGCTGCTTAGGCCAAATTCATAGCTACGGCTGCGTGTTAACGCGTTCCAGTGCAACTGAAGACTTTGATTAGTTATTAGCCTATGTGCGTTGACGCGTTTTTGCTCATTTGCATTGTTCATGAGTAGGTGCCAACTTTACTGGGACCGTCCCACATTCTGGCCGTCTGTCCTGCCAATGCTGTGTCCCAGGGTCACAGCATTAACCTTTTATATGTGCAATAACTCAAGGCCACGAGAGGGCGGTCCTCACATATATAGAGGCGGGGTCTGGGCGGAACCAACCTATAAAGCGGGTGTAATTTGGATGCAGCCACCGCAGAGAGAGTGGGAAAAGTGCCTCACGAAGGAGCCGAAGGATCCAGCCGTAGCTTTCGAAGGGCTGCCATAGGGGATATTCACTATATATATATTCACTACATAAGCCGAAGGTGGCAGAGCGGCTCAGCTGAGCTGAAGGCATATGCTTCGGCTTGGCTGAGCCGAAGTGACACCCGAAGCGGGGCGAACGGCCTGCCGAAGGGCCGGCTGTAAGCCCCACAAATGACAGCTGGGTGGAGCCAGGCCTTAACCTCACGGCTGACTCCGCCCAGTTGTAATGACGGATCAGCGTCCCCAAATGGCCTGGGGACGCTGATCTGTCATTAAACAATAACAACTGGACGGAGTCGGCCGTGACTCCGCCCAGTTGTTATTCATTGGCCAGGACCTGCTAGAGGACTCTAGAAGGTCCCGGCCAATAGGAAACAGTTGGGCGGAGCTAGCTCTGTCCAATTGTTGTTGTCTTTTTGCTTTGGAAAAAAAAATCTTTATTTTATTTTTCTAAATTTAATATTTATTTTCATTTTTTTAAATATTTTTTCAACGTTTTGTTTTTTTCTACTTTTTTCCCTTTTTCTCTATTCTGATCGGTACCACGGGTCTCTATATTTACAGTCGGGTCTCAGCAATTTCCTTCTCCTCCATCATCTGTCCATCTGTCCTGGCGCCTGAAGTGATGTGCGGCTCACCGGAGGCGCGTCTGATGTGTTCAGGATGGAATTATAAAATGGAATTACGCGTCCTCAGCAATTTATATCGGATCGGACAGCCCGGCGGAGCTCCGTGGCCCCCAGGAACCATTTACTGCACGGCTTTGATGGCGTAAAGTGCTTTTCTGACAGCGGGGCGGCTGATGGCTCCTCCCAGGGGGGGGTCACCGAGGCCTCTAATACAAATTACGTAGAAGTGCAACGCGGCGGGTTTTACGGAAGATCAGTTATTTCAACATAAGGATGTATTAGGGGGCTGGGAACGTGACAGGTGAATGGCGGCTTTCAGGTGGCTATGGAACTACAAGTCCCAGTATGCCTCGTCGTCGGGTGATGGAGTGTGAGGATCCATTTGCACTTTGGTACTGAAAACTGCTGATTAGAACAACTGCGGTTTTGTTGCCCTAGGACAGGGGTAAGCAACCTTGGCTCTCCAGTTGTGCTGAAACTACAAATCCCATCATGTTTCTGCCTCTGGGAGTCATGCCTGTGGCTTGCAATGCCCTGTGGGATTTGTAGTTTCAGCACAGCTGGAGAGCCAAGGTTGCCTACCCCTGCCCTAGGAGGAGGCCTGTCCATGATCTCTATGTATAGAGGATCCAAACAGGCCCCTCCCTCCTTGCACATCATAGCCCCTCCCCTTCTGGAAGTGCCTAATTAGTATCTGTGCTGGCCAAGCACCTCCACTCCTCCCCTCCCTAGGTAAGCTTTTCTGTAGCTGCCAGGGGAGGAGCAAAGGAGAAAAGTATAAAGAGCCGTGTGACTGACAATGGATATACACCATGGGACTGGGGGAGGGGTGCGAGCGAGGAGGCTCTTGTACCCATCAACTTGGGGCATTGATGCCTTGCCAGGAGGGCCCCCATAACTAGGTACCCTCCCCATGTTGAGGGCATGTGGCCTGATATGCTTAAGTGGGTTGGGGGGGGAGCTTGCTGCGGTTTTCTGTGTATGGGGTCCTTCCTACAAATCAATACCAGGCCCCTATCAAGGATAAGGGTCTGATATGTATTTTGAGGGGAACCCAAGACCATTCTTTTTCCCTGGGGTTCCCCTCTAAATTAATTCCAGCCCGCTATCTAGGATAAGGGTCTGATATGTAATTTAAGGGGAACCCCCACACCATTTTTTTTTCATAGGGTTCCCCTCTAAATGAATACCAGACCCCTATCTAGGATAAGTGTCTGATAAGTACTTTAAAAGGAACCTCACACCATTGTTTCCCTGGGGCCCCATACCATTATGATCTCCTCCTCCTCTTCGGAATGCAGGCAGTGATGTGTATTACATCTCTTCCGCATTCCTCTGTCACTATCCGGTACAGAAACCGAAGAGAAGCTGATGAAGCAGGTCTCTGCTTCATCAGCTTCTCTGGGGGTCCCTAGGTGACATTAGGGGTCTTAAAGACCCCTGATGTCTCCATAAAGAGGACCTGTCACTGCAAATTGGCTATCACATAGGGAGCTTGTTTGCTCCCTATGTGATAGCAATAAAGTTAAGTGAAAAAATAAAAGTTTAAAAAAAAATTAAAGTTACAAAATAAAATTAAAAAATGAAAAGTCACATATCAAAGCAATAAAAAAAATAAAAAATGAAAGTCCCCCGCCCCCACATGCACACGCAAACATGCGTCGAGTCCGCCTACGTGCGAAAACGACGATTACATCCATTGCGCCACACATGTTACATATCACCGCGAAGGTCGGAGTTAGAGCAATAATTCTAGGGTCATCAATCACTGATAACACTAAACTGATGAGCGGTAAAAGCTTTTAAAGCATCGGCTATGGTCAATTTTGGGTATGGTAGTTTTTTGCGATTTTGCGGGTGCGCGCAATTTTAAAGCTTGACATGTTTGGTGTCTATTTACCCGACGTGACCCCGACTTTTATATTTTACCAAAAAATTGGGTAATAATAAATGTTTTATAACATAACGTAGGGAGAACAGGTTTTTTTTAAAAACTTTTCAGTACTTTTTTCATTATACAGGTATTCCTCACTTAACGACCGAGTTCCGTTCCTACGACCAGGTCGTTAAACGAATTGGTCGTTAAGTGAGGAACTCTATACAGTACTGTACTGCATTAGTACATTACTATATAGCATTGCAGATGTACAGTACCGAACAGTGTACTGTACATCGGGCAATGAAAACAATTACCGGGACCCGCAGTGAAAATCGGAGGACAAGGTCGGAGGTCGATCGGCGGTCCGTCGTAAGTGCGAGTGGTCGCAAAGCAGGTAAGTCGGTGACCGAGGAATGTCTGTATAGTAAAAATAAAACCCCCAGTGGTGATTAAATGCCACCAAAAGAAATATCTATGTGTCCCCAAAAAATGGTATAAAATGAATTTCAGTACAGCGTTGCATGACGGAATAAATGTCAGTCAAAGTACTGCAGCGCTGAATACTGAAAAATGGCAGGTCAGCAAGTGGTTAAAGGAATACAGGCCAGAAGTTATATGCAGCTATAACCTTAAAGGGAGATTGTAGTTTAAATGCTTACTACAATAAATAATTATAAACAAAAATAAGTAAAAATAAAAATATTTACATGACAAACATATTTGTTTACTAATAAAGAAAAGGTAACTCCCTGTAAAGGTTGCAGGCTCACGTCACGTGATCCGCTGCCCACGTGACTGGTTCCCGAGACGCCAGCAAGCTTCTCGGAGGACTCCGTCTCCATGGCAACTCACGCTAGAAGCTCAAGAAGGACCGTCCCGCACGTGACGTCATCAGTAAGAAGCCGGAAGTGGTGCGGGCAGGCGCACGTGAGCAGAGATGGAGGGTGAGTGTTGACATTTATGGGGAAGCTGAAAGTATGAATTATAGAGAAAGGCTGTTCTGGGATTGCACCTCCCAACATGCTTTGGGGGAGTCTTTGGGGCTGGCTGATTGTTGCCATAAATTATATGTTAAAAAATAGTAGAATGACATCTCCCAGCAGGCATTGGGAGTCTGAGGAATGCTGGGAGTGATGAGAAATACAGTGGGATGGGACTTTTTTGCAAATTTAGAGATATTTGGGCAGATTTTCGATTGTTTATTAAAAACAAATTGTGTGAATATTCACTTCAATTATCCAACCGTGTGAAGGGTAAATCCCTGTTCACTTATGTCATGTGACCATGATTAGGTGCTTAGGAATTTACCTTTCACATAATTGGATAATTGAAATGAAGATTCACATCATTTTGCAGTGAAGATTCACAACTCCTTTAGTAAATCAGCCTCAAAGTGCAGCTGTTGGTCAGTTTTGTCAACAGGGAATTTTGGGGACACCTTTCCAGGGGCACATCTGCTATGCAGGGAACTCCAGGGGCACCTCTTATATACAGGGAACTCTGGGGATCCATTTGGAGGGACACTTCTCATTTACAGGGAACCCCGGGTACAAATCGTGTATATATAGGTAACACTTTGGTATAGGAGGAACCCAGGGACACAGCTAGTTAACAGAGGAGCTCCAGGGACACATTTCTAAGGACACATCTTATAAACAGGGACACGTTTTAAGGGGCATGTCTCATAAACAGATTACCCCGTGGACTTATAAACAGGGACTCCAGGGACACATCTAATTAAAGAAGAACTTTGGGCAGAAATGCTATTAACCCCTTCAATAGGGCTTCCCCTACAATGCAAGGGTTAACTGCTCATTTTTGCCTAAGGTAAAAAAAAAAAAAAAAGTTACACTATTCACCTGAGTTTCTACGTCGGCTTGCTCTTAAGGTGCCCATACACTGCACGATTATCGTACGATAATCGTATGCGATCGGGTTTTCGTACGATAATCGAGCAGTGTGAACAGAGACGTGCGACCGTTTCTACTGTACGGTCGCACGTCTTCTGTCGAACCAGCATGTTCGAAAACCAGCCGGGAATCGTACGATTCTCGGCTGGTTAGAACGGTGCTCAGAAGATAAATGCTGAACGGGCCGGTGTGCGCACGCGCACACTGCCCGTTCAGCATTGCGGTCATCGGAAGCCCGCCCCTTGGGGGGGCGGGCTTGCGATGATCGAGAGTGCGATCTGCCTGTCCAAGATAGGCAGATCGTACGTTTTTTTAATCCCTTTACAACCATCGCAAGACTAAAGTCTTGCGATGGTTGTAGAGTGTATGGCCACCTTTAGACCAGTCCACAGAGCATCTCTCCCTCTCTGCTGCAGCAGTCTAGGAGTCCTTGAGTCATTACATCCAATACAGTGCCCACTACCATCCTTGAAGGAAAGGAGGACAGAGGCTGGAGGGAGCGCTGCCAGCTTGGAGGTTCGGGTTATCCTATGCAGAAGCGAGCAGTTAACCCTTGCAGTGCTGGGGAAGCCCCACAGCAAAGGGGTTAATACAATTTCTGCCCTGAATTCTTCTTTGACGGGATCTTCAGCGACACATTTCTAAGGACCCATCTTATAAACAGGAACATGTCTTATAAACCGATAATCCTTGGGACTTATTTCCAGGGACACATCTTATAACTAGGAACCCTGGAGATGCATCTTACATGCAGGGACTCTAGGGAGATATATTCAGGGACACATCTTATAAATAGGATACAGTGTGGCATCGGCTGTCAAGCACAGAAATGCAAAGCGTTCCAGCACCCAGCAATCTTTTACAGGTACTATCAAGGGGGGAGAGAGGGATCTGCCTGTAAAGATCCGGCCTTTAAGTTATAACAAGTAGCACGGGACATGGAGCATCCAAAGAGCAGAGACTAGACAGTCCTCCGACCGTCTAATCTCTGATATAAACACATATCAGGAACTGGGGGGGCTCAGCCGCTGGGATGGAGAGAAGCTTCCCTTGCTGAGACCCCCAGTGCTGATTTATGGTTAAGAGGATGAAGCAAGCTGAATTGCTGAATCACTGCTGGAAAGGGTGAACTGAGCTTCTGGGCACTGCAGGGGGGCTAAGCTGCTCAGTCATTTCTGGGAGGGGAGCTGAGTTTCTGAGCCACTGATGGGAGGAAAGAGATGGGAAGTGGAGGGCTTCAGCTGCTGAGTCAAAATTGGGAGGAATAAAAAAAATCTGAGCTGCTGAGTCACTGCTTGGAGAGGGGACCAAGATGACCTAAGCTATGGAGAGAGCTGCCAAGTCACTGCTTGTATGAGGGACCTGAGCTACTGAGTCACTTTTGGGAAGGGGAAGGACGGAGGGCTAAACTGCTTAATCACTGCTGTGAGGAACGGGCAGAGAAGTGGGGTGCTTTAGCTGCTGATTCACTGCTGGGAGGGGGAGCTGAGCTGCTGAGTCACTGCTAAGAGGGGGGAGGGGGGCGGGGCGGGAGAGGGGA